TCAACTTAATCAATTAGGAACTAATCTATCGAACTTCTCGTGTTAGTTTAATTATAAAGACAAGCGGAGTGTTTGGCGCGTGTCGACACTCACGACCGGTCTAAAATCTATTAAGAAAATGTTTTTATACAAGTCAATGATACATGATTTAATAAAGAACTAGTTATACTCATCACTAGAATTTATTCATTATTGTTTAAGTTCTCAATTTATTTTGCATTTTTAGGCTATGTATAAATCTTCCAACCACCCCCCCTTTTTATATATTGTTTTAATGTCAATGAATTTGCACGCGGTTACGTCTTGGACTTACGGTTAACACCGAGTCCCTGAGGAGACGATCCTACTTATCGCTATTATAAGTGTGTTTTAGAGATAATAGGCTGATTTTTGTAAATTTTATTATTTGCCGGACTCGACACTCGTCAGCAATTGACTTCCACAGTTTCACTTCCAGTTCTAGAACCTAGATTTGAAGAAATACAAATGTGTTCGATTGTATCTAGATTTGAAGAATTGATATTTGAGAAACAATGAAGAATTGATATTTGAGAGTTTAATCGACAATCGTGTACTCGAGTATATATAGTCGGACAGTCGGCAATGCATCAACTGATCATCAAGATCGATCCACCGTCCCATGGATAGTCGTGAGACTCGTCACCGTCAATCGTCTTCATCTGGAACTGGAACGTCATCGTCGAAAATCGAAAAATTCGAACACTCAAAGAACAATAGAAGTCGTCAATTTCAAATCAACAAAGCCAATCGTCTTGTAAACTGTGATGCGTCTATCATATTGTCGCCGATTCAAGTCATTGGGTTTGTTATTAACAGGCTTGGTCAGTTGAGCCTCTGTTTATAATTAAAGCCCAAGTTTCAAATTATTAAACTCCAAAACTCAAAACTAATACTATATAAAAATTTGATGCCCCTTTGGGCTTTAATGTCCTGTGCGGTCGCACTGGCTGCACGAGCTCAGGGCCGGCCTGTTGAAATGTTAGTACTTTGAGTAGCGTTTTAGGAGTTTATTGTCACTTTTTTTTCCAATTATAACCTTCATTAATATTAATTGTTATTTATTAATATTAATTATTAATAAAAATAATTTTTTTTACTAACATTAATTAATAGTAATTAATATTAACTGAAAACTATTAATTAATTTAATTATACATTATATATTA